CGTTTTTTCCTACCGAGATTTTGCACTAAGATAAAATCATAAATCAACGCTGAATCAGGTAAATAAAAATAAAGCTCAGAGTGCGTATGCAAATTGAACAGAATCTGAGCGACTGTGAATCTTTGCTTGGGATTCGCTGGCGCAAAAATATGATAAAACTTAAGACAGTCGAAAAGTTTTTTGACTTTTCCAAAAAAAAAAAAAAAACTTTTTTGCATAATATTGTTGCAGGGAACTTTGCTTTTAAGTAAGTAGACGACTTTGTGTTTCCATGCCATGACTCAGTCTCTGTATGCGTGTGTGTGAGTGACTATTTTTGTGTGTGTATACGAGCTTGTGCTTGTGTTTGCACTCGTTAAGCCAATGGAAATACCCATCCGAGCAATTACTGTGTCGTTAATTAGCCCGAGCGCTAAACAGCATGGCTAATGCAAAAGCAAAACAGGTAACAACCAATGCACATGGTCAATAACCAGCGCTGTGGGCTTCGATTGCCTTTTAATTTGGACTCGCTATAAACCCATTGAAAATGGGAATTGAGGGTGTCACACTTATCTGAAAATGTCTGCAACAGGCAGAAGGAAGTCATTGGGATGTCAGATACCTCCCCCAAAATGTACAACAAATAAGAAAAGGAAAAGTATTTCAAATATTGCAGACACATCTGGATGGCTTAATTACGTCTAGATATTTGCATAAAGAAAATGCACTTGGAAAAAGTTATTTAATTCATTAAGAAGTTATTCAGTAAGCAGAGAGCATGTTTATGTTTTCCCTCTCTATAGTTTAATGTTTCTGCAAATTTTCATCATTTTTATAAATATATATTAATTTTTGCCAATTATTTAAATTACCAAGTGGAGCTTTTATATAATACTTATATATTAAACTAGATATACAAATAATGAAGAAAAGAAACTGGAATTCACGGTTCACTTTATTTTCCATTTGACACACGTGATATATATTAAGTATGAATAATAAAAATAAAAATAAAATAAATTAAAATTTTTAATAAGTGAAACAACCACAACAGTTTTTAAAAATTGTTATTTTAATTATTATTAAATTATACAAATCAATTCTATCTCAATAAAGATGGGCTACTTAGGCGTTTCATTGCTTCAATTCAAATTGAAATCCGGCATTGATCAATTGGTTTGATCCGAACGTTTGACAGTTCTCAATGGTTTCCCATTGCCATTCAGCAATTTTGACTTGGGATCAATTTCTGCTTTGGTTTGGATTTCGATTGGCTGGTTGGTCTTCTCCGAAGCGTGGGTTCATTAGACAACCGCAGAATGCACAATCTCTGGCAGCTTCCGGAGGCATTTGCGTAGCAGAGTGCGGAATGAAGCTGGTGCTGTGTGTCATGTGAATTGCACTGAGCTGACTGTGGTTTTAATGTCTATCCAGTTGCATTTCGGCATTGCAGGCGTTGCCTCCGAGTATGCAATATTTTTCCATGGACACACGTGAATCACTGACTGCAGACAGACAGGATAGGAAGTCCTGTGCACAATAATGAACACATTTGCTTGCTTATTTGGGCATTCGCCCGGATTCAAGGGCAGCAGGAAGTCGCATCAGAAAAATTTATTGAACTCCAACTGGCACATATGAAGTTACAGAGCATTTCAGAGTGCTGCCAACATATTACAGACATATCACAGCCTACCATTCGAAGCGGCAACACTCCGAAAGTTGCTGCACTGCGGAAGCGGAAATGCAAACTACAGTTCTCGCCTGCAACTCTCTGTCCCGCCCGATAAAGAGCTTGACCAGCCCCAAATGCGTTAAAGGCGACCGAAAGGCAGCCCTAACGAACGATTTTCAAGTTTATCCTGCTCATTAACAAACTGATCAGAGTCCAGTAGTTAACAGTTTTAACACCTTAAGTGTACAATTGAGCCAAAATGCTGTTAGCCGGGCGTGAGTATCATATGCAAGGCATGAAGAAGAGCTACAGAATATCATTTAAGGTATTTATATGTATGCAGCCCTATTCATTTCGTATACTGAGAAGAAATTCTTGGATGAAATACTTAGAGGTAATATTTTTAGAAAAGGAATACTCAAAGGAAATACTTACAGGGAATACTTAGAGGAATGTTTACATTACAATTGCAAGTCTAAGTCTTATTTTTTCTAAGATCGACGAGCGGAGAGGCCTGAATCGAATTAGTTCGTCGTCCTTATCCAGGCCCCTTTTCTGTCTATTATATACATTTTAACAAAACCATTATACACTGAACTGCATTCTTAATGAATTCAGGTCATAAATAGGACCAACTTAAGTATCAGGCATTGTCAACTCGTCTCTTTAATTTATAAAGTCTATAATTTAATTTATTTTTCATTTTTAATATATTAACATTCCCGTTTCACATTGGAACTAAATTAAGCCTAGAGGACTTAACTCCCTAAATAAGCATTAGCATATTGAACGATATTGATGACTATATATATATTCAACTATTTGTACACTTGCTCCGCAGGCCAATCATAGCATATGTGCGTGCACTAAGTCAAGCTTGTGTATTAATAACACCCAGTTCACATTTGCATATTCATTCCGAGAAGTAATGTAAATTAGAACCCACCTTGGGACTAGACTGAAAGTGGAACATGATTACATTCAGATAGTTGAAAGTGATTCCAATTAATTCAACGGTACTTCAAGTAAATATGATATGTTTTCACTACGTCAATATCACACCTGGGTCACAGGACATTTTCGAGCTCCTGGCACTTGCAATTAAGCACATTGACACGCATGTGCATACTTAATGCTTGCGGCTAATTATGTATGTGTGTGTGTGTGTGTGTTGATATAACGCTTGGCATTGCTCCAGAGTTATTAAGCGTATATGCAAACAAGGCGCGAGCATCCTTCAAGTTGTCTCAAAGCTATGTGGTGCGACTGTTTATCCAACTTATGTCTCGCAGATAGAGGACGCAAACGGAGATAGCAGAGCGCAAACATACCTACTCACATACATGCACACAGACACACATGGGGAGAGACTCAAACACAAGTCAATAAATTCTCATTTCGCGTGTTGCGTACAGCATTTCACCTGTAAATAAAACGTACCTTTTGGCGCAAAGGCAAGCAACGCAATAATAAATACAAATAAAATCATGACAGATAAAAATTACAGCCACAATGTGCCGTATGGGTAGACAGCCCGGCACTGCCAAACAATCTATATTAAGTATACGCACAGTTTGATCCATGCATTTTAATGATGCTGCCAGAGCCGGCGGCACTTCAGCAGACATCCAGCCATAGTCATAGATACCAACCTGATTTCCTGTCTGCCTGCATCGATGACAAAACCTTCATTTATTTCAATTAGCATCGAACTCAGCTGTCGTGGCGGCCGCCGGCAAGGATGGATCAAGGCGCAGCTCGATGCCTTGAGCCAGTGTCAATAGCAAACAACTGACTGTGGATTATTGAGAGCTAGGCAACGCATCTAATACTGTGGATTTCACCCTGCTCGACTCGGCACTCGTCACAAGCTGCGCTAAAAGGAGCAAATCGATTGCTATTTAAAATTGCAACAACTTTAAATTAGTTTACTCAAGCGTTCGCCAACAAGTACTATATGAAGTGCATAAAATATACATACATATAGATAGAAATATATATATGTATATACATTTCATTTTCTGTGGCGTATCTAAGCAAAGGCAGTTAACTTTGATTGAATGCAAACAGACCGCGCAGCCATCACCCCGAGCATTGGCATCTCAATCAAAGCAGCTGACGCGGCGTCTTCAATTGGTTTGAGCGGCAGCTGTTAAGGAGCACGAGGGCCTCGCCATCGGATGGTTGGGGCCTGCGGTGCAATGGCAATACTCGAAATGTGCTCAACAATAAGCTCCATAAGGCTGTTGCTTAGAAGTTTCTAATGCCGAAGTGCAGTGGGCGCGCGCCCTCAGCGATTGCTTTGTAAATATTTATATTTCTATATTTCACTTAAATTGTTATTAAGCCAATGGCGACCATCCAGCTTGATGGAATCACTTGACCTGGGCAAGTGCAAGTGGGCGAGCAGACGGTGCAGCAGAAGGTGCTTGCCTGGCAACGTCCCTGGCACGTTGCTAATGTGCATGGCCATTAAGTGAGCGCTGCGTGTTTTGTTTACGCAACTCGCACGCCCCAGGGGAGGTAAACACTTTTGGCCCAGCAATGTTGCATGTTGCGAGTGCAGCTGACAGGTGGTAAAGGGGCAAAGCGATGGCAAAAATCATATGAAGACCTGGTTGCTTAGCTAACGTCAAGTCAACAATGGCAACAGCCAGCCAAGGCAACGCGGCAATATTAACAACAATAACAGCAACAACCTCAGCATCGGCCACAACGTCAACGGCAACGTCAATAATAATAACAATAACAGCAACGGCAACATCAATGGAATCGAGGATAAGTCTAACTTCAGTTGGGAACTCTAAACAGAAGATCAAGGTAGCGTCGTCTATATAAAAATGTATATTATGAAAATGAAATATTTTTCACAGAACTGTGCTACAAATTGAGCGAGGCGTTCAACATCTCAAAGCGTTTGTATTTGGCTTGCAGCATTTGGCAACATCCGCGGCCACAGACGTTGTCCCAAGTTACACAAAAGGATTTGCCGACTCCTGGCGCACACGAACGAGTCAACAGGGCACCGCAACGCACCGCACCGCAGACAACAAACAAGCGCAAAAACGAACTGCGCAACGGTAACTGAAATTGAAATTGATTGAAAAAACAACAACCACACGAAAAGAGCGGCAGGTGCCGGCAGCAGCAGCAGCAACAGCAGCAGGAAGAACTCAAGCACACGCGGCAACGCTTCAGCGTTTGATGTGCAAACCTCTGCAGGAGCCAGCAAGCAAATAAACACACGCACATGCACACGCCAGCACACACACGTGCGTTGAAGTAGCCAGAGTTAACCAAGTCAACCGGAGGGTGCTCTCGGGCGCCGACGTCCTCAATGTCTTATACAGCGGGATCGCTGGGGTCCATCAATGCAGCGCAGCAGGACAGTGAAAGCAGCTATGACGGCCGCATCATCAATGAGGATCCTCGGGTGGTTTGGCTAAAGACCATCATTGCCAACCAGCTGGGCGTGTTTCAGCCAGTTTACGTTAACACTCTGATTGCCAACAATAAGATCGCCGTGGATGACTTTCTGAACAAGCGCTATGAGCGACAGGCGCATCTGGATCGCGTCATCATGTACGTATGGCGGACGTTCTACGACAGGCTCGTGGAGGAGGAGATCACAGTGCTGGAGGAGCTGCCGCGGCCCTCAATACCGATCAAGGAGAAGAAGAAGAAGGGCAAAGGGCGCAAAAAGGGCGGACAGGAGCCCGAGCAAATGGCAGAGCAGGTGGAAGCCGAGCCAGCCGAGCCAGCCGAAGGCACTGATCTAGAGACGGAGGCCGAGGGTGAGGCCGAGGGCGAGGAGGATGCCACACTAGTCAGCAGCAACAAGAGCTCAGCTCGCTCCAAGCGTAAGTAGTCACACGTCCCCAACGGACTCTGTTCCGCTTCTACACAAGCTAAGTCAAAGCGACATGCTAACATTTTTGTCTGCTCTCGCCCCATTCGTGCAGTCAGCTCTGATATGGATAACGGTAAATATATATCGCATCCCTATTCAATGGCGTCTTTGTTCGTTGCGCCATTTTTAATTTGGAAACTTTTCTCGGCACCTTTTCCCTTGAGCACTCGAATGCAATGCATAAATTTAATACCCGTCCAACTTAATATCAAACCGGAATCTTTCTACTCCCTTTGATTCGCGCTGCCCACAGCACATCATAAATATTTAGGAGCCTCATTGCGGCTCGTTCGCCTAATATTCATTTCTTTTGCAACTTTTAATTTGAATTCGCGCCATGCCCACCATTTTCGTCGTTCGCGAATGCAGCTCATTTGATTTGCCTTGCCCGGCACAAAGATAAGACCAAAGTTTCGTTCCGCTCATTGCATTTAAATAGAACCAAAAACTTCCGGAACAATGGCAATGCAAATAGCCCAGCTTCCCATCCTCGCATCTTCGTATCGCACAGCACGTCAGTCACACGCTCACAGTCACATGCACTTAACTGCTCTGCCAGTGAATTCACTTGCCACGCCCATTCACCATGCCAATGCACCTAATCTAATCCTCCCATTACAATAGGTCGCAAAACCAAAAAGAAAAGCTACGTGCCGGTCTACATTGAAGTTAAGGTGAGTACCCACATCTAAGAGGCAAACTAATTAATTATAATAATCGGTAAACAAACATGCAAAAATATAATATTATTCTTTATTATTATTGTTATTGACAGATTTCGATTGCTTTATTAAATTTAGTTTTTATTTCCCTTTGCTGTTTCTCATATATACGGATTTTAGGAAGCAGATGGATTAGATTTAGCAAGTTGACAAGCCACAACCACATAGACATGTCCGTGTTTGTAATAAATTGTGCTTTGAAAATGAAACCCATTTACCCTAATTTTACTATGGGCATTTAATTAAGAAAGTGCATCATAGTATCTTAGGGAAATGTGTATTAAATTCGGTTACATATGTATATGCGTATGCTTTTAATTATTCAAAAAACTTGAGTACTATTTTTTAACCACCGCATATGAAAATATTAGCTATAAGTCTTTAAAATGTACGAGTACTTTTTTTTAGCCACCGCATAAGTAAATATGAGCTACAAGTCTTTAAAATATACCCTTGTAGCAATTACAAACTTAATTGTTAATTTTAACGTAATATTATTTACTTCCATCAACAGAAAATTGTTCCTGCTTATATTAAAACACCAATTCTTCATTGTCACTTTGGCGAGATGGAATCGCACAACTTTGACCCCAAAATCAGATATGTATATATAATGCGCAAAAATGCAAGAGAAATTCGTAAGTAATATTTAAAGCTAAGCTCATAATATATAGAGATACATACATATTTAAAAAAAAAAATACCTGAATACATTTAATATATAACTAATAGGTATTTAATAATATAAATAATAGTTATTTAATAATAGTTATTTAATATTGCGCTATCAATAAGAATAATCCCCATAGTTTATTTTACCATCATAATAATTATGATACCGAAACGCATTCAAGCTTTCATCTGATCATTAATTTTATTTATTCCTGCAGCCTGGTTCAAAGAGATATCGCAGTGCTTTGCCGAAATGCCATTATTGTTTCTATTGGGCTCCATTCGAGGCAACCTCATCGACGCGCTGCGACACGAATTAAAGATGGTAAGCCCCCTTGACTAGTAAGCCGGTCATCAGAATGCGCCACTTAATGCCGCAACACAATCCGCAAACCAAAATCACTCAAATTTGCGCCCTTTCGCTCATTTCACACCCCATAAAGCGGTGTTCAATCAATCAATAGCCTCCAAGCAGTTGCCATTGTTTCCGATGTGGACTTCTATGTGAGTTCCACTCGATGCCCTTTGTCCTTCCTGCGTCCGTCCATCTTCGCTTATCCGTCCAAGCTTAACCGCAAAACAAAATGTGACGAATTGTAATTAATTCCTAAAACAAGGCAGTCATCTATCAAAATGGACGCTGTGGCGAAAGATTTTTGCGCTTCGGTGCACAACAGGCGGTTGACTTGGGATGGTGGGGGGCGATGAGGATATGGCGTGAGCCCGCTCACGCCACAATGCCTTAAGCGGGCAGCTCCGGCACAAATTGCTTCATCATAGCCTCAAAATGTGCTGCGGTTTCCATTAGGCTGGATGGCTGGCAAGCTCAGCCCCCCCTCCACCCTCTATTTCTCTCCGTCACCCCTCAGACTTGGCAGCTTGCAAATTTTGCGGTCGGTGAGAGGCCAAGCGGGCCCCAACTGCCATAATATTTGCCTTTTGCATGAAAATAAATTGGGAATTTGTCGAAAATTGTGAAAATTGGTTTTGCCAAATCAACGCGGCAAATCAATTAGATTGCCTGCACATTGCAGACTCTGCCTATTAGAACAACATATGAAATTTTGCATTTTTGTTTTGTTTTTATTTTCATTCCATTGCAGGTTTACAATAGCGCCTTTCGATTTCAATTTCGCGAACCGGATACCCACCACACCGCGGATACCCAGCAGAAGGAGGGTAATGAAGCCCAGAGGGAGAGTGGCGGCGCGGGCGGAGCTGGTGATGCTGGCGAGAATGTTTCCAGCGAGGCCAAGGAATCGGGGCCGGGTCTATTGGAGCTTTCCAAACCATCGGAATTTCGTTTGAAAGCGCTTAAACAACAAAAGTATTTAACTTTTAACAAAGGCAGCGCAGCAACGCGTTCGCTTTGCGAGGGAATTTTTTTTCTTTTTGGCTTTTTTTTGCTTTTTTTTTTTTTTGTTGCCTGCATTGGAGTAGGGGTAATAGGAGGGCGTACCGCCCGCGCTTTATTGGTTTTGTGCTGACTGAAGTGCTTTCTCCAACTGGCTTTTTGTTTTTCTGGTTTTTCACTCATACTCTTTTTCTCGTGCGCATTTTGTTTGCCCTTTGTTTTGCATTTATCACTGTTTACCATCGATGTGGCTACAGTTTCTTTTCTTTTCGCTTTTTTTTTTATTTTGTGAATCCTGCATAACCCTTTTCGCACATAAATTACAGCGCATCCGATAAGAATTTTTATTTTTAATCGGATTTCATGCTACCATCAACGGCGCCAGCTTCAGCGTAGACACTGTTGTTGTTGTTGTTGTTGTTGTTGTTTGTGTTGTTGGTGTTGTTGCTTCTGTTGTCTCTGTTCCCCTCGCCATTGGTTGGGAAGTCAACATTTATGGCATATCCTGGCGGGAACCTCACTCACCCGCGAATTGGGCTTTCATTGCTCTTGCTGTGGCCCCAGCTCAAACTGCCACTTGACCAGTGAACGCGGCTCAGCTCGTCCTTTTTAGGCATACACCCGTTCATTAAAAATTCTTTGGTCGCTTGGCAGCCAGCGCAATCGGAGAGGATTCCTTTTCCGTCCGCTTTGCCCTCTTTGTTGTGCTTTGTTGGTATTTGCTGCTCATTTCGCTTATCAGCGGCTTTTCATTACGCATTGTGTTAATTTTACATGTTAAGCGCCTTTAATTATGTTCATTTATTTATTTATTTATTTTTCTCTTATATGATAGAAAACAAAAGGCACTGGAAGCAGCAGCCAAGAAGCTGGCGCAGGCCAAGTTGGCTGCAGGTGGAGACGACGAAGATGAAGTGCAAAGTGCACCCATAGAAATACCATCATCTTCTGAGGAGGAGAGTAAGTCGATTGTCAGAAATTTGATAGCCATCGAAAATATATTGACATCATTCTACAGTGGAACAGAAACCAGAAAAACTGACCATTGCTGAGCGCTGGGAGAAGCTGTTGAATGAGACCAAGGCCAAAGTGGTGGCAGAGCGCATGGCTGAAGAGGCCACACCTCCACGCATTAATCCCATACTGCGTCGACTGCTGAAGGAGATCGACGAGTTTGACAGCGAAATCGTGTGGACGATCAATCACATTGTATGGGCCTTCAATTTGCCATCGTCCTATGTGCTGCCCGGCCAGGAAGAAACTGAGTTCGAAGAGGCGCTCATACGTGTGCCTGTAGACCCCAAGAAATTGGACCTGATTCCAACCTATACTCAAAGTCAGCTCGAAGATGTCGTCGACGGTTGGATGAAGTATCTAAATAAAACAATGAAGACCCTCAAGGATGCCAAGCTGGACGAGTTCACCCCCATGGCAGAGTACCGCTACTGGCATAAGATGGAGATCGACCTCTATGGCACACTGGAGCAATTGAAAACGGAATTCGTGATGGCCGTACTTAACCGTCTAGCCAACGACGGATCTAAAGTGCTCATCGAGTGGAATAAGGTACTTGCCAAAACAGAGGAGCGATTCAAATTAGCAAAGGAGAACTCGGACTATCTGGGCACCGTGACGGACTACCTGGAGGTATGATGATAATCATATTCTATATGTTCTGTATAGCTTCAAACTTATTTGTCTTTTTAGAAAATACAAAACTACGACAGCATGAAAATGGCCATCATGCAGATTCCAAACGTTATGGTCGGCTTACGCCACATCTGGACTATGTCCAGCTACTATTGCCGCGATCCCGAAATGCAAGTGCTACTCTGTGAAATATCGAATGTGTTCGTGCAGAAGGTGAAGAAAATCATTAATTTCGACAATATATTTCGGTGAGTACGCGATGATAAAGAAAGATAAAGAGGTTACTCCAACCGATTCATCAATGTTCAGCTATTCGGCATCCTATACATATGAGACAGCGAACAACTGTGCAAACCTTTTGCACTGCTGGAAACACGCCTACAAGGTGAGCCGGCAGCACATCGAGGAATCTGGTGCCGGCTCCCGTTGGGAATTCGATCGCGTGGCACTCTTCAATGAGGTGAATCACATATACCAAGTGGCCGTGGACATTGCATATGTGGGGCGGGTGTTCATACAGTATGAGAACTTGTTTGGACGGAACCTAAAGGCACTGATCACCGATCCCGCAATTGTGGACAATCTCATGCGGAAAATCTATCGCTTGTTGGATGATCTGATTCGGAGCGTCGACTATGATATGTTCCTGCCCAGCAATTGGGAGAACTGGGAGTACTCGCTGGAGCAGTTCAATAAACGGCTTGAGAGTCTCGAAATAGATGCCAAAGCGGTTATCGATCAGAGCATCAACTCCTTACTCTCAGCCCAGAAAGGTATCAAGCTGCTTGTCAATGCAAACACCATTGACACGCGCCAGGTTCTACAGGAATTCGTCTCCACGAAACATGAGAATCTACTGCGATTTTTCGTGAGCGAGATTAATAACGTAGAAACCGTGTTTATGGTACGTACTGTCTGTTGATCTGTTTATGTGTACTCTTGATTCTGAATTGTTCTATTCTTTTTACAGAAACATAAGAAAACTCCACCAATGCCAAAATTGCAACCTGCTAAAATTAGCGCCATCTGTTGGGCGCGTTTGTTGGGCCGGAGGCTAAAGAACTCGGTTTTGGCATTCAAAACCTTAGAGGACGATCCGGCTATGCAGAATAGTTTCCTAAAGCGCAGCGCATTCAAGCAGTACTTTGAGCTGATGACGACTATGTTCCAGTTCGAAAAGGTGCTTTTCGAGAAATACATGCAGAACTCTACTTTTATGATCAATCACACCAACCGCTCCAATATACTGAGTATACAGATATGCGTCAACGATACTCGTAAGTAGTCATTGCATTGGCCATTGAATATTGAACTCTAGAAATGATCTCTCTAGTCAACTATATATCGGAAGCATCGCAAACACTGAGGGCCAAGAGCCGAGTGAATTCTGTATTACAAATGCCTTCTTCCCAATATGGTGGCAGTATGAGTCTCATGGATGTCAGCTCTGATGGCAGTTTGCATGGAGAGCAATCCATGAGTTTCTTTGAGGAGGATGACGATGACGAACAGGCCGCTGTGGATGCCGCTCAAATAGGTGTAATGTGTAAAATAAACCGGTTCACGGTACTCACAGCGATGATCATGTGGATGGTGGGCAAGACGCGGCATGCGAATCTACAGCTGGGCAAGGCGAATGCCTTTTTAGCCGCCATGAAGGAGCGAAAGCCAAAAGATATCACAGCTCGTGATCGGGAGTGCATGCAGACATGTGATTGTGAGTATTTCATCAATATTCAATAACAACATTATTTTCTATTCCATTTTCTTTTATTCCAGTACTCATCCATGCGGAATCGCAACGCATGTTGCCCATCTGGAGAGAGCTGGTTGGCGACAAGGTGTTAATCGAGTACGATACGCAGTTCGTGGTCAACTTGAATCGCGAGGTGTTTGACACAATGTTCGAGGGACAGCTCTTTGAACAGCTGGGCTTTACGCTGCCTGCCGTACTCCGTACGGCGATCATGAGAAAGGACATTCTCTTCAAGGACTATGAGAAGCTGTCGGAGGTTATCAATCGCTACAATGGAATTATTAGCAACTTGTCAATGTCTGAGGTGGTATTTTTGCGAGAGCACATCTACGATACGGAGCTGTTCATACAAATGGGTGTGGGGCGCTTCACCTGGATATCGTTCAATATTGCCAAATTCTGCGACCAGATCAACTCTCAGCTCCGCAAGCTGACCTCGATAGTGTCGCAAATCAATTTTATTCGACGGGACCTGCGCAACCGTATCGATCAGATCAAAAGATTTAATCTGTTTAACCTAGACGAAGAGTGGAATCGAATGAATGAATCGATCGCCAGCGTATCTCATAGTATTATAGCACCAGCAAAGAGCACAATGGCCCGCACTTTCAAGTCCATGACGGGGGAAACGGTTATGATGCTGCAAGCCGATGATGATCTGGATGCTCAGAAGATTATTGAAGAACGGGCTTGTGGCAAGGGTGTGTACGACTGCCAAAACTACTTTGAGCTCTTGGAGTCGTCGCGTAATCAGAAGGCGGCGCAAATGAAAAAGCTCTACGATTCCCTGGGGCCAGTGCTAATCAAACTGGAGAGCTTAGTCCTGGGCACGTTCACGGGCCGGTCTGAAAAAATGCGAAATTACTACGAGTTTTGGGAGGAAGAGACTTACAAGTGCATTGTTGAGTAAGCTAAGATCGTTAACAACTATATCAAAATATGGGTATATATAAATATATGAGAATGTATTCCTCAGCATGACCTTTGAGAATTTGAAATGTTATATTAATCGACTGCTATCGAATGAGCCCATGTTTGAGGTGAATGCCGTGCTGCTCATGTCCGAAATCGTATTGGAGCCGTCCGCCAATGAGCTGCAGAACATCATCATAACAGCAGCCAAGGATTACCTGACGCGGTACGTCCTTGACTCCTTGATTCATTACAGCTATTTGCTAACCACGGCCAATCCACAGCATAAAAATCTTCACACGCTGGATGTCTGGCACCTGTATCAACTGTCCGCTGCTGGATGCGGGCACCCAGTGGAAATATAACTATACGTTCTTCGAGGACGTAATGGGCATCAAGGATGTGGTGAATCTCATTATAAATATACACGAGCTAGCCGCAAAAATTGTGAACGAAGCCAAGAGCTTTGTGTCTCAGTGAGTATAAATTGACCTTAGGTCAAAGAAGGTCCACAAAGTTTGTCCATGTTTATATGTGCCTATGATTCCATTTGATTGTATCAGATTTCGCAAGTACTTCAATCTGTGGGCCTTTGAGAAGGACGTTATATGCCAAAAGTTTGTGGAGCGCCAGGTGACACTTGTCGAAATCGATGAGAAATTTACATTTTACTCGAGCATTGTGGAAACCTTGGATCAAATGCGCAAGTACCATGACGTCAGATGTGTGCGCATAAATTTGAGTCCATTGCTGGAAAGCATCCAGCAACATGCCAAGCAATGGTGCACCATATTGGGTGAGGAGTTGTTGCAACATGTTATCGACAATATGCGGACTATGCGAAACGAAATCAAAGTGAGCAGTCAAATACCACCACATGGCATCACTCGCACATCCCATTCAATCTGTTTCTGGTTCTGTTTCTGTTTCTCCAATCTCTTATAGTTGCTGAGTATGAATCTTAACAAGACCACACGCGAGCTGGAGGACTTTAAGCTGGTCATGCAAACCATCGCCACCGTTCAGTCGACAACGTTGACAAACGAACAGAAGATACATGAGATGCAAGAGACCTTCACAGTGCTAAGTGAGCACCAAATCACGGTAAGCCCTCGTTAAACAATGATTGTAAATAATATAATATATATAAGAGTGTATTCCTGACTGAGACATATTCTTCTCTCCCTATAAGTCCTATACCTTTCATTACATTAATGCTAAAGAACTTTAAGAGTCAGACATATTCTCAATCTGTGACTGTATCGATGCGTAATAGAATGATATCGTTAGGTCCTATAGACTCTATTTGAACAGCATTGGCAACTGGCTTAGCGGAATGCGCTAATGTCGAGTAAGTTGTTCGAGGCACATATTTGTGTATTCAAATGAGCTGTTTTGGGAATCCTTTTAGAAATCTTTTAAAGCCTTTGTGGCCGGCAGCAGCTACACACTGTTTACATATGCATATTTCGTGGCCAGAGAGTGGAGCATGATTTGAAAATGGCTTTCCGCATGCTGGCATGGTGCACGCTCACACACACACACACACACACACACATAACGGTTACATAAACTCGACATTGGAACTAGACACAGACAGCGGGTGGCAGCAGTTAGCTGCTGACGGTACTTTGCTGGCCCAGCCATTTCCGTCCGTTCTGCATTTTTCGTTTGTGGCACTCTGTATGTCCACCATTTTCGGATTCGTTCATTTATTGATTGCATTTCGTTGCGGCAACGGCGCTTAGCTCTCTGGCTCAGACAACGACGGAATTAACTTGCATTTTATATAAATTAATGAATGAATGAACAAATGTACATTCACACACACACACACACACACACACACACACACAGATACAACACAACACTGCAAATACTGCAAAGGCCATATGAAAATTTATGCAATGACGACCAATTGCGGCGGCGGCAGTGAAAGCTTTGCTTTTTTCAATACCTCGTAGCCACATAAAGGGTTTGTAGGGTTGCATGTAACAGGTAGTTAACTCAGCTCAAGTAGGAAAATATCCAAGAATACTTATAGGGGAGTTCTGATAATATTTGACATGCCGTTATTATACAAGTTTTTGGTTACAGGGTATGCTCACGTCGACTATTTAGGCTAACTGTCCACTCTTTTATTCAGCGCTTTCTGCGTGTTGCAGTTGCGGTTGCGGAAACGACACTTGGCTGCTCGTTAGCGAAATTCGGCACTATTCATGATTATTATTTGCACTCAGCAATAATTGAAGGCCAACGCCTAATTTGACTGTGGGCGGGACTTTGTATTGTTTCTTTATTTTTGTATTTTTTAACGAACTTTGTTCTTCTGCTCCTCGTAGTTCTCGTACGAAGACATGCTGATGGCCCATCATCTGGAGAAGCGCTGGAAGCGTCTATTTCTATCGGCATTGTATCGCTCGGAGAAGCTGCAACCAATTAAGCAGAAATTCGCAGAGATGACTACCGGAGAAATCGAAATATTCTGGGACGATGTAAGTTGTCAAGTCAATGCCAGGCGTCGCTCCTTGACGAGTGAGAGCGAGTGAAAAGTGTGTGTATGGTGAGGGGATGGTGGGCGTGGTGTGAGGGACTGCGCTTTGCTTTGCTGGCTTCCCTGCATTTCCGCAATTTTGCGTTTTCTGCAATTCCGTTTTGTTTCCCTCTATTATTATTTCCTTTCGATGGCATTTTAATTGGATTTTTCCGCCCTCCCAACCATTATTGTCAATTGTTAGTGGCAACGGTGCCGTCAGCGTAAAATGAATTAACTTGAAGTGTTTATTATTTGAATTAAGGCGTGAGCAAAGAATCGAGGCGTATGCCAGTGGGAGTCCTGCACAAAGCGCAACAATCAAATGCTGCTATTCGACAAGTGTCCTGGACTAATATTGCGTTTTCCTTTCCTCTCCTTTTTCCTTTCCTTTCCGCCGCAACAGCTGGAGGAATTTATCAAGGATTGGGATGAAAACGGTCCCGGCTCCTGCGGCCCTGAGCTGGAGCGCGGCGTTCGTCTGATGGATCCATACAGCCAGAAATTAAATGAACGAGAGCTACGGCGCCAAGAACTGGCCAACGCGGAGCGTCTGTTCGACATGCCCATGGTGGACTACCACGAATTCTCACGTGTGCAAACCGAATTCGAGGGACTGCAAATAGTAAGGACTTCATTCATTTCATGGCATCCCTCAATGGACTTTAACACCTCCAGTATTGCAGATCTTCAAGCTGTACAGGGCCCAAAAGAACGCTCGCGAGATCTGGGGCAAGACTCTGTGGGTCGATTTGGATCCGAATTTTCTCACCGAGGGCGTCGAAAGCTATCTGAAAGAATTCCGTAAAATGCCTAAGGCGGTAAGTCACGCCCTCGCGGCGTTTTGAATAAAAAGTTGGACTAATTGGTAAAGTTTTTCGGCATTGCTGGAGTTTTTCATAAAATTGCAGAGGCGTTAAAACAATAACAAGCAAATACTTCTGAGCTAAGCGTTCAGTTTACTTTGATACCCTGCTTCTGCCTGGCAGCTCGACGGGTGTACCTTTTGCCTTCCGTTGTCTGCCCAAATTCAAAAGGAAATACAATACTCGCATCAAGGCCAGTTGTTATCAGTTGGCAGTTGATGAGTTTCGTATAGATCTTGAGCAGCTGGGGGTCAATCAGCTTTATAAAGCATGTCTAATAGTCGAACTCCATGCAATTCTTGACTTTTCCTTTACAACAAACAAGTAAAGTGAAATTTGGCCTAGCAGCGTTGAAATTTCGCACCTAAACTGATTATGACAAATTGATTTATTTACTTCACTAACAAGTTTCTGAGGAATTTCGCTCCGTCCAGGCCAAAAGTTTGTCGCGCCAAAAAGTTTTGTTCATTCAAATGAACCGAGTTGTTGTTGAAAAGTGGCTGCTGCAACTGGGCCAGCAGAGGGTGAGGGTGAGCGGTGAGAGTGGGCCGGACTGAGTTTGTGGAACGGCACTCGTATCTCTAAATAGTGATTACATGCATAGATTAGCATGCAAACTATTTCATTAGTTTATCATTAATATAAATAGCCCAGCGAACACAAATTTGAATATAATCAGTTGGCATGCACTCATTTTAATGCAGTTTTTATAATGCATAATTTTCGACGGGCCTCGCAGCCACATGTCGTTGTCGGCAGCTATGGCATAATCAGTGTCCCAAAATGCAAATCAATTTGTTCAATATTGAAAATAATTAAAATGCCAACGGGTGTCGCCCGATATCGACTGCAGCCGACATACTCTCTCGCCTCCTGCTGTTGCTGCTGCTCCTGCTCCTGCTCCTCCTCGACTTGTTGACAGTCTTCCACTACCCGCTGTGTCGCTGGGCTGGATTTTAATTTATGCCCGCACTGTTTCGCTCAAGCCATGCATTGCATGTGCATGTGCAAACATTCATAGAGAGACGCGAGCAGCGCGTGCAGGGGGCAAATGTAAACAGACTGCGCATTTTGGCAAACTTAACAAGCCCGCTGCCGCTGACCAAAACCAACCGAGCCACCGAAGCCACAGGCGCAGCGCTTGTGTCATAATTCAATTCGGCTGTAACCGCAGCTGACAGCAGCCGGCCACCGCACTATTGTTTCAACTGATTTGACGTAGCTAACTAACCGTTTATCGTCTACACACACACACACACACACCTACACTATAGGTGCGTATGCTGCCCACTGGCCAGCAACTGGAGCTGCACATGAAACAGTTCAAGGCCACAGTTCCGCTGATGGTCAGCCTCAAACATGAGGCGCTGCGCGAACGCCATTGGCACCAGCTGATGGAGAAGACGGGCCAGTTTTTCGACATGTCGCCCAACCGCTTCACACTGGACAACATGTTCGGCATGCAGCTGCACAAGTATCAGGAAATCGCCGAGCAGATCCTCACCAATGCCGTCAAGGAATTGCAAATCGAGCGGGGCGTACGCGCCGTGGAAGAAACGTGGGGTTCGATGTCGTTCAAGGTAAACAAACACTTCAAGGGCACCGAGGACCGCGGCTGGATCTTGGGACCGGTGGACGAGATAATGCAAGTCCTCGAGGATAATGCCATGAACTTGCAGTCAATGGGAGCCAGTCAGTAAGTTTTCGATATGAGATGATATGGACCCACTCTCTCTCTCTCTCTCTCTCTCTGATAACTAAATAATTCATCCGCAAACCCCAAGCCCTTATTTGCCCTAAGCCTTGTATTCATTTAGATTACATTTAGATATGAGGGCATCTGCTAGATTGATATATGTTTATTATATTTGCTGTTCGTCTGCAGATTCATTGGCCCATTTCTGGAAACTGTCAACCGCTGGGAGCGGGCCCTCGCGCATGTCTCCGAAATCATCGAGGAGTGGCTGATCGTACAGCGAAAGTGGCTGTACTTGGAGGGCATTTTTATTGGCGGCGACATACGCACACAGCTGCCGGAGGAGGCGCGCAAATTCGACGAGATTGACAAGTCGTATCGCAGGGTAAGTATTTGCTGTTTGGTATGTATTTGTTTATCCTGGTTGTTTGCCCGGGTGCCACAGCCACAGCCACCGCCACAGCCACTGCTACTGCCTCTACCATTGCCATGGCCAAAATATCTACTCAATTTATTTGAGTTGATTTAATGTGCGCCGACAATATGGCGACGCCTTACTTAACGGTAAACATAATACGCATGCAAACGACCACTTTGCGTATTCGTAATTGTGTTGCCATACGACTACTGCTACACACAAACACACACACACACACACGCTTACACTCTACATACTTATATTTCCAGCATCCTACAACCATACATCACACAAACGCACCGTTAGGCGGCACAGTGTTTGCCAAAGCCAAAGGCTTTCACCTTCATATGTGACACATACACACACACACACACACACATTGCCCTCCATGTGATTTTGCCATAAGTTTGTGTATGTGGGCGTATGATTTGTGTTTGTGTTTGTGTGTTAGACGCTTAACTTCACTTAACCTTGCTCGCCACTTGCTTCGTTTGCTTTACGTTTCATTTGCAACATTTGCCGACATATTTGATGCCATTTATGAAATGATTTATGATTTTGATTTGCTTTCGACATTCGTATTACCGTGATACCCTTCCACAGCGAGTGTGCTCCTTAAGATTGTCAGGCTGTTGACATTTCAAGAGGAATTCAGTTTCTACGCTGACATCTTTAAACTTTTAGTTCATCTTGAAATGGATTAATAAACAGTAAAATAGAATATAAAGCAACTAGTAATTGTTACCATGCACATATTATTAATTTATTATTTTAACTATTACCATTCTTAAACATTCTTAAAATGAAGATTGTTTAGCTCTGATCGCTTAACTGATATTTTTGTTTAATTCTATCCAAGAGTATTCAAGCAAGTGTGTTTGTCAAGCTATTATTATTATATTTTATTTTCGTATTGTGCTTGATAAGGCTGATTGTTGTTGTTTTTTGGCGATATTGTTGCTGATGTCCTCATTGCTTTTCACAATAATTTACTGCTCTAACTGCTGCTTCCTCTTCCACTGCAGATCATGGTCGATTGTGCCAAAAATCCGTTGGTGGTGCCATTTTGTGCAGTGCCCGGACGTTTAGTGGATATACAAGGTCTAGGAATTGGCTTGGAAAATTGTCAGAAGTCGTTAAACGAATATTTGGACTCGAAGCGTCGCATTTTCCCGCGCTTCTATTTCATATCCACCGATGAGCTGCTCTCGATTTTGGGCAGCAGCGAGCCATCTGCAGTGCAGAACCACATCATTAAGGTGGGTCGAAGTTCCAGGCCAAGTGTGAATGTGTGGGTGTGTATGTGTGGGCAGTTGGGTGGAGATGAGTCTGACAACAACAGATTTGCTAAACTGCCAGCAACATTATTTTTATAGTGACTGACTGTGTGTGAGTGTGAGTGCGAGTGTGAGTGTGTGCCTGAGTGTAAGAGAATCTTGCCATAAAAGTTAATGTCACTGTTTATGCGTTCTGGCCAATGTCCAAGGCGGAAATTACGCCATTTGTGCAGCACATGCACTGGCCCCTCCCTGCCCGCAGGCCGGAGTCGTGGTAAATTTTTATGAATTTATTTGGCTTATAAATAAAAATGTATTCCTGCGCATTGATTTCACAATTTTCATTCCGCTTCCGCAGATGTACGACAATATCAAGTCGCTGCGCCTGGTCAAGGAGGGCGCTCATACAATTGTTACCGCCATGATATCCAGCGAGGGTGAGGTCCTGGAGTTTCGAAATTTCCGTAAGTACGCCCGACTCCCCATCACTTCCGCACCAGCTCTTTAGATCTCCAGGCAATCGGCAGGCAGACAGAGCGAGAGAGAGAAAGGGAGCGAGAGAGTGTCCCTACGCACTGATTGCCAATTTTAAAATTGAACTTTTTTATGGCTCTGCTCTTCGGCTGGCTGACTGGCTGGCTGGCTGGCTGGATGGCTGGGTGGAACGCTGGCCAATTTCTTTTAATTAATTTGAAGCCAGTCGGCGTTGCCGTTATCCCCTACTGGAGATGATTGCGCATTCGATTGCTGTTGTTGTTGCTTGTGTTGTTGCTTGTGTTGTTGTTGTAATTTGGGTACTTTGATTTTTATTGTTTTTGTATACACTTATTGATATTGGCGACTGGGGTTTATTTATGTGGTTATGCCATTTGCTGTTATTGTTTTTGTTTTACAGCCCGGGCCCAGGGTCGTGTGGAGCATTGGATGAACGATGTGCTGGATGAGATGCGGCTCTCGAATCGATATGTAACTAAGACGTGCGTCTACGACTACGGCACCGATCTGATTATTTCAAGGTAAGTGAACAACATTAAATATATATGTATGTATACAGAATGTTTTCATGCATGTTATGATGGCCGAGGGCCGCCGTCCGGCTGGTACCGAACTCTCCGCTCTCAACTTGAACTCCCGCTTATTTCGGGCGGCTTTTATGGCCAGCGATTTCCATTGAGACAGTAAGCCTGCGGCTGTATAATTTTGTCATTTGGCGCGATTTATTATTTTATTTTGTATGAGCTGGGGCCGGGAAGCATGTCTCGGCATATTTATGGCCAATTGCATTAAATTGACAGTCATTTGGCACTTTCGATTTCCACAGGCCGGACTGGTTAATGAACTACCAGGGCATGGTGGGCTTGGCTGCCAGCCAAGTCTGGTGGACGGCAGAGGTGGAGGAGGCGTTCGATCAGGCCCAAAATCACGGCAACATGCGCGCCATGAAGGACTTTCTTATGAAGAGTAACTATCAAATTGAGGAGCTCGTATTAAAAGTGCGCTCCAATCTGTCGCGCAACGATCGATTAAAGTTCAAGGCGATATGCACGATAGATGTGCACGCTCGGGACATTATCGATAACTTTGTGCGCGACAATGTGCTTGATGCCAGCGAGTTCAGCTGGGAGAGTCAGCTCCGCTTCTACTGGGTCAAATTCTACGACAACCTACTGGTGCTGCAGTGCTCGGGCAGCTTCGATTTCGGTTATGAGTACATGGGTCTCAATGGCCGTCTGGTAATCACGCCGTTGACGGATCGCATCTATCTAACCATTACCCAGGCACTGCTAATGAACCTCGGTGGGGCACCTGCTGGTCCTGCTGGCACAGGCAAAACGGAGACGGTCAAGGATCTGGCCAAGGCCATGGGACTGCTCTGTGTGGTAACCAATTGCGGCGAGGGAATGGACTTCCGGGCTGTCGGTACGATTCTGTCTGGTCTAGTGCAATGCGGCGCCTGGGGCTGCTTCGATGAGTTCAATCGCATCGACATATCGGTGCTCAGTGTAATCTCCACGCAGCTGCAGACGATACGCAACGGATTGATACGGAAGCTCAAGCGTTTTGTGGTGCGTAGAGTGAAAACTGAAGACGTGATAAAGCTTTCTAATTATGATCTCCGCAGTTTGAAGGCGTGGAAATAAGTTTGGATCCCAAGTGCGGCGTATTCGTAACCATGAATCCGGGCTATGCGGGCCGCACTGAATTGCCGGAGTCTGTGAAGGCTTTGTTCCGCCCAGTGACCTGCATTAAGCCCGACCTGGAGCTCATCTGCCTGATTTCGCTGTTCTCCGATGGCTTCCTCACGGCCAAGGTGCTGGCCAAGAAGATGACGGTGCTGTATTCGCTGGCCCAGGAGCAGCTCTCCAAGCAGTGCCATTACGATTGGGGCTTGCGCTCTCTGAACTCCGTGCTGCGCATGGCTGGCGTCATGAAGCGCCAGTCGGAGGATCTGCCCGAGGCTGTTGTGCTGATGCGTGTGCTGCGTGACATGAACTTTCCAAAGTTCATATTCGAAGATGTACCTCTCTTTTTGGGCCTTATCAAGGATCTGTTTCCTGGTATCGATTGTCCACGAATTGGCTACCCAGACTTCAATGCGGCCACTCGAACCGTCCTTGTCAACGATGGCTACATACTGCTGCCCGATCAGGTGAGCCCCTTTGTCACTGGCCCCGTGCGTGTGCTGCTGCTTTTGCCAAGTCATGACATGGTTGACAAGCAAAAAGAACCAGCCAGGGCTGATGGCAATAGCAACAGCAACAGCAATAGAACTAGTTGCTGAAGTTGTCCTGCTGCAGTCCTGTTGTTACCGTTGACACTTTGACACTTTGTAAATTGCCCTCCCTCGCATAATCGCAAATAGCGGAAATGCTACAAAGCATTTTGCAGAGCGGAGTTGGACAGAGCTTGGCCGTGCCCTCATGCAGTTGCCTACATCTAATTTTAACTTTTGTCCTCTTTGCTATTTCCTATCTATCTATCTGCTTTCTGCTGACAATTTTCCCTAATACAATTTTCTGTACTCTCGTCTCCTCCACCTGGCCATTTTTGCCATTTTCATCAAACAAAACGTTGCACAAATGTCACACACAATGTCAACTGCTGGCCAACTGATGTCATGACGACCTTCTCTTTTACCGCCCGCTGGCGACATCATTTATGACAACCAAATCCCAACAACGCCAACAATGGAACGGCCCCGAACGCCTTCACCTTTGCCTTTTGCCCTCAAACTCGCACTCGCACTCGCACCCGCCCAACGACAGGAAGACAAAGTGGTGCAAATGTACGAAACCATGATGACCCGCCACTCGACCATGCTTGTGGGCCCAACAGGTGGCGGCAAAACTGTCGTCATAAATGCTCTGGTCAAAGCGCAGTGCCACATGGGCCTTCCCACCAAGTGCCTTGTGCTTAACCCTAAGGTAAGTGGTCTGCCATTTTAATGTCCCCCACTCACACACAACACTTAAGTTGCGCACATTTTGTATACTCTTAATGCTGCCGAAACCAAATACCTTATATTCAATATCAAAACGTTCCTATCAACATGTCTCTATCCATATATTTTACAATTAAAATCGAAAAGTCATATGTGAGGTCTGGTTCTTGTAAACGATTATGAACTAAAATTTATTCGTTAGTGAAACTAGAAAATGCTAAGGGAATTCAGTGTTCGTTGGAATGATTTTTAGCTCGTTCGTGTTTGTCTTTGTGCTGCATGAAGCTCTTCCATTTTGGCCCTCCCCGTTTAGCAGCGGGACGTTCAGGTGATTTCGTTTCTCTTTGATAGTACAGTTCTCTTTGTTATTCACAATTTGCTTTTAAAAAAGGTAATATGAACGCATTTGGAAAATTGTCGTATTTCAATAGAACCGTATGGCAATAAGTAGTTTTAGTTGTGGACAGAAAGAAATTTATAGGACTTAAAATGGCAGAGGAACGACTGCTGAAGGAAAACAGATTTAGGTGCATTAGTAATCTTAATAGGGCATACAAATAATATTTTCCCTAATATATGTGTTTTGTAAAACTTTATTATCAATATTTTTCAGGCTTGTTCAGTAATTGAATTATATGGTTACTTGGATATGGAAACTCGAGATTGGATTGATGGATTATTTTCAAATATATTCCGCGAAATGAATAAGCCAATAGAGCGCGAGGTAAGTAAAGTAAACAGCTTATATACATATCTCCGATAATTTTGTATAAGCCGGCTGGTGCCTGGCTGCCATCCTGCTTGCGAGAGTTCACATATCTAGCATCCCTGACTCGCGTACAGCGCCTTCGCTGCCATAGTAATTCCATTCGAATTGAAGTGGAACAGCAGCTAATCCCTACACACACACACACACTCACACGCACAGACGCACCTATATAGAACACGCACATTCTAGTTAGAGCCGAGAGCACTCGGTGTCAATTCAATCGACAGTATGTAACAGACGCGCGCTTCCAGACTTTGGTTTCGAATGTGTGTGCGGGTGGGATATGATGTGTGATGTGGCAGCCAATGTGCATCATTCATACGAAAATCGCGCCATTCGCTAATAAATCCCATTGCACAACCAGCCAGCCAGCCATCGAGGCAGCCGGCGGCCGAGCCAGTGCCTAGCGGCACTGGCTAAACAAACTATGTCGCCTGACAATCCATTCGGTTACTCAGCCTTCTGGCTTTCAGGAGGTAATCTTTCGTTCGTAGCTCTAGTTGTGGCGCCGCTGTTGGGGCCGAGAGACACAGGTTTTGCCGGCGCCAGTCGGTAACCGCTGGCATTGAATAACACACTCTGACTAATGCAATCCAATAGGAGCGCCGGTATGCTTGCTTTGACGGTGACGTGGATGCACTTTGGATTGAGAACATGAACTCTGTTATGGATGATAACAAGCTGTTGACATTAGCGAATGGCGAACGTATACGCCTGGAGAACTATTGCGCGCTGCTCTTTGAAGTGGGTAATTTGTTTTATGCTTCCCCAGCCACCGTCTCCCGGGCTGGCATGGTCTATGTGGATCCCAAGAATCTGCGCTACAGTCCATTCTGGCAGCGATGGGTGTTGACCCGGCCGGAGTCGCAACGGGAGCTGCTGAACGATTTCTTCGAAAAGATAATTGTGAATGCTATTGCGTTTATATTAGAAGGTCTGGACGGAACCACCCAGGGCAATCCGCTCAAGCTGGTCATTATGCAGACCGACCTCAATATGGTTACACAGTTTTGCAATTTATATGATGCCATGCTGCCGGTGTACGGACCGCCGGATAATAAGAACTCGGACGAGCCTGTGCTCAAGGTCTACAATACGGATACCTTGGAGTGCTGTTTCGTTCAGGCTGTCTATGGATCTCTGGGCGCCTGTCTGCTGGAAAAGCATCAGCTCATATTTGATGAATTTATGAAGCGCATTGCCGGCTTTCCACTTGTGGAAGACTCACCGGCCTCGCCAGCCGGTGGCGGGCAATTGCCACAGACCAAGCCCACACTCTACGACTACTTCTGGGATCAGAAGGAGAACTGTTGGATAGCATGGGAGTGGGTCGTTAAGCCCTACGTGCATGACCCAACCGTCAAGTTCAGTGAAATTCTAGTGCCGACTGTCGACAACACTCGCACTGACCGGCTGCTGTCCCTCATGAGCGATGTAAGTTGGGAACCGTATTTCTCGATAAACCTAATCTCGATTGGCTTTGCAGATCAAGCGGCCCGTTTTGTTGGTGGGCGAGGCAGGCACATCGAAGACGGCTACCATCATGCAATATTTGCGCAATCTGAATCCCTCTGTCAATGTAATTGAAATACGAAAAATTAGCAAATATTGCCTTTTCCTCAACCTGAGCCCTTCTTTCAGGTCATACTCAACATCAATTTTTCATCACGAACGTCGTCTCTGGACGTGCAGCGAACGCTGGAGGCAGCTGTCGAGAAACGAACCAAGGACACGTATGGCCCACCGATGGGCAAGAAAATTGCCTGCTTTATTGATGACATGAACATGCCGCAGGTGGATGAGTAAGTGCACAGAGATACTTGGCTCAAGAATGAATAATCACACATCTTCTTTCACAGCTACGGCACCCAGCAGCCGATTGCGCTGCTGAAGCTGTTCTTCGAGAGAGGCGGCATGTACGATCGGGACAAGGATCTCAACTGGAAGAAGTTCAAGGATATGACATTCTACGCTGCCATGGGCACCGCTGGCGGTGGCCGCAATGAAGTGGATCCGCGCTTCATTAGCATGTTCTCCACATATAACATCCTGTTCCCTAACGATGAGTCGCTCATACAAATCTATTCGTCTATATTTAAAGGTCATATGACCTTTACCAAATTCCATAAGCGCTTCTTTATGGTTGCCGACATCCTTGTTATTATGACGCTCAAGTTATTCAAGGTAAGTATTCGCAGATATTCTTAGCTATTTATTTTAAGATTAGTTTACCAAGAACTTCCCCAATATATTGCATAATGATTTACTCCCATCGTATTCGAAGAAACTGTTAAGAATCGTTTAAATATCAAAACTTTCTTTTCGCTAAAAGTCTGTAAGAGCCCCTGTGAAGGGTGCAAAAAGCTATCGCATTCTGAAGAGCGCTTTAAAATCTCTCACAAATTTTATGAAATTCGATTTACATATGCAAATAACGGCAATTTTTCATAATCTGCTTTGCTGCCTCGCCACCATACAATGGAAATTATTCAATGGTCTGTAATGCTCCACGACGAGCGTTGCCCTCCATGGCTGCTCCATTGGTTCCTCGAGTACAGCTCGATGCTGCCAGAGCACCAGTTACAGCTAAAGCTGGCTCTGGCTCTGGCTGTGGCTCTGCCCTGACTGTGGTTGTGGCTGTTGCCATAGCCATTTGCTGTTTGGCCTTCCACACAATGGTCACCCGCCTCGACTGCTGCCTAGTTGACTGTGTCTAGGTTGCTCTGGCTGCCTCGCCTATCTTCGGCAGCACATCTCTTGGCTGGAGCAAAATTTGATTATGTTCAAGTATTGAACTGTAGATGGCTCTTTTTCCATCTACCTCTCCCTGCCCCCTGCCAACGGCTGGAGCATTAGTTTATGGTGCTTTTAACAATTGTTGACACTAAAATATTATCGCATTTCATTGCGTGCAGATAAAAATGCATTTGTCGCCACAATTGCCACAAGCAGCATGCGCAGAGGCAGCGCCAGCTCCAACAGTTGCTGCCCAAAATATATATGTACCTATATATATATATAGATGATTTACTCACACCTGCCGTTTCAGTTCAAAGCAGTAGTTGTAGTACCTACCCAGGCCTGTCTAGTTCGTACGTCTTCTTTACACACTCGACGCGCCAGCCCAAAAGATATTAATGTTCCACGAAATGGAATAAAATGAATTATTTGAATAGAATTGTCCAGGCTATAGAGAGCTGGTGGCGGCTGCAACTTGATAATGGCTGTAAATTCAAGTGAACGCAAGTCGTCCCACTCTCTCCGCCTTCCTTTCAGCACTCGCAGAGGATGCTCAGCACTCGAATGCATATTGCTAGTAGCCAAGATAAAATTGATTTGTGTAGTGCTGCGCAGCATGGCGACGGCAGAGCTCTTGGCCTTTGCCACTTGCAACTTCTCACTCTAATTACTGCTGTTATGACTCGCCTCTATAGATGGTCATCGTGGATCTGCCGCCGACGCCCTCAAAGTTCCATTACATATTCAATCTGAAGGATCTGTCGCGCATCTTTGCGGGCATGCTTCTAATTCAGCCCGACTTCTATAAGGATCTGCGAGAGCTGTTGCGAGTCTGGCGCAATGAGTTCACCAGAATCATATGCGATCGACTCATTTCGCAAACGGTAACTATAATGCCCCCACAATGTAAAGTAGCACTCTCTGTAATTTCAACTCGCAGGATATAACTAATGTGCGTCGCAATCTGGCCATCGAGGTGGAGGAACGTTTTCCGCCCGAGTTCGAGGAATTGCATGGCTTTATAGACGTGGAGGCCGCAGCTGCAGAGGCACAGGCACGATTGCTATACGAAGCCGAGACCCCTGCCGCAGCGGCGGGCGGCGAAGAGGAAGGAGAAGAAGAGGACGAAGGCGACGAGGGTCCCGATGCAGTTCTGTCGCTCAAGGATTATGTGCTCCGCGACCCGCTGGTCTTCGGCGATTTCCGCAACTTCACCAACGAATCCGAGCCGCGCAACTATGAGGATCTCATTGATTACAAAGCCGTCTTCAGCTTATTCACCGAAATCTTACAAGAGTACTGCGAACGTAAGCAGAAAATGACGCTGGTCCTGTTCGAAGATTGCTTGGAGCATTTAACGAGAGTGCATCGCACCCTGCGCATGAATCGGGGCCACGTTCTGCTCATCGGCGTCGGCGGCTGTGGCAAGAAGTGTGTCACTCGCCTGGCCTCCTTTGCGGCCGAGTGCGAGGTATTCGAAATCACCATATCCCGAGGCTACAACGAGACGTCATTCCGCGAGGACCTCAAAGTATTGTACAACATAGCTGGAGTTAAGCGAAAGAAAGTTGTGTTCCTGTTTACGGCCGCTCAGGTCTGCATGACAACAGCTCTCAATAATGTCAAGATTAAAGCAATCTTCTTTCTTAACAGATAGCAGAGGAGGGATTCTTGGAGCTGATCAACAACATTCTAACAGTGGGCCAAGTGCCGGCCCTCTTTGCAGATGAGGATAAGGATGGCATCGTCAATCAAGTCCGCAAGTTTGCCGAAGAGGAAGGTCTTTCTGCATCCAAGTAAGAATTCAAACTGTTGTCCTATACTTCACCTACTAGACACATATACCTCACAGGGACTCAGTTTGGGCCTACTTTTTGCGCTGCTGTGGCGAGAACCTGCATGTGGTGCTTTGCATGTCGCCAGCTGGTGATGCCCTGCGTAATCGTTGCCGCAGCTTCCCAGGTCTCATTGGCAGCACTTACATAGATTGGGTATTTCCCTGGCCCAAGCAGGCGCTCTATGCGGTTGCGAAGCTCTTCCTCACCGAGCACGCCCTGATTCCGGTACTGCACCGAGAAGCTATCATTGAGCACGTTGTTCATGTGCACATGTCCATTCAAGACTATTCCAAGGACTACTTGACGAAGCTGAGGCGCTGCAATTTTGTGACGCCCAAGCACTATTTGGACTACATCAACACTTACCTCGGACTACTCGGTGAGATGGCGATCTACTTAATATAAATTCAAATTTATAATAGCTTGTTTCAGAGGAGAAACATAAGCACATCATGCAGCAGCGCGAGCGCCTCGGAGAAGGTATCAAGAAAATCGAAGAGGCTTCCGTACAAATCGACGAGCTGCGTATTATAGTGACAGAGCAAAAGAAAAACGTTGCCGTTGCGGCAGAGGAGTGCGAGGCCATGCTGGTGACCATAGAGTCCTCCACGCAGAAGGCTAACACCAAGAAAGCCGAGGCATCTGAGAAGTCGGTCGAGGTGGAAAGTAAGGGGAAGGTGATTGCCGTCGAGAAGGACGAGGCTGAGCTGATCTTGGCCGAGGCGATGCCAGCAGTAGAGGAAGCCCGTCGGGCCCTTTCCGAGCTCGAAAAATCCCAGATCACTGAGATTCGATCCTTTGCAACGCCTCCGCCAGCCGTGCAAGTTGTGTGCGAGTGCGTGGCCATATTGAAGGGCATCAAGGAGATCAGCTGGAAGAGCGCTAAGGGCATGATGAGTGATGTGAACTTCCTCAAGAGTTTGATGGAAATGGACTGCGAGGCGCTGACCCAAAAGCAAATCACCTCCTGCCGCGCCCACATGAAAACTCAGAACTTAGACGATATGGGCAAGATTTCCATAGCCGGTGCAGGATTGTTGAAATTCGTGAAAGCTGTGCTCGGCTTCTTTGACGTCTACAAAGAGGTCAAACCGAAGAAGGAGCGTCTTGAGTTCTTAGTTGAGGAGCAGGAAATACAAGTAAAACTCCTGAATCATTTGAATGCGGAAATTCAAAAGCTCGAAGAGAAGTTGGATGAGCTGAATCAGAACTATGCCACCTCCATGAGGCAAATGCGCGCCTTGACTGAAATGATGCAGCAGGCCGAGCGTCGACTGCTCGCGTCTGACAAACTGATCAGCGGCCTTTCCTCGGAATTGATACGCTGGAGTGCCGAAATGGCCAGCCTGGGCCAACAGCTGATCGACAGTGTTGGCGCTTGCCTCATCAGTGCATCGTTTCTGGCTTACACGGGCGCATTCACCTGGGAGTTCCGCAAGAACATGGTGTTTAGCGACTGGCTTGAGGACATAGTTGCATTGGGCATACCAGTAAAGCTTCCCCTGAAAATTGATGGTTACCTCACGACCGATGTGGAAATCGCTCAGTGGTCCAACGAGGGCCTGCCGCCAGATGAGCTGTCCATTCAGAACGGCATCCTCACCATGCGCGCGTCGCGTTTCCCACTCTGCATAGATCCTCAGCTGCAGGCGCTTCAATGGATACGAAAGAAAGAGGCTCGCAATAATCTCAAGATATTGTCATTTAGCGATTTCGATTTCCTAAAGCAGCTGGAAATGGCTATAATGTATGGCATACCGGTCTTATTCGAAGATGTGGATGACTACATTGATCCCGTCATTGATGACGTTCTGCAGAAGAACGTTCGGGTGCAGGGAGGACGCAAGTTCACAATGCTGGGCGATAAGGAGGTTGACTGGGATCACAGATTCCGGCTCTACTTGACCACAAAGTTTTCCAATCCCAAATTTGATCCCGCTGTGTACGCCAAGGCCTTAGTCATCAACTACACGGTTACGCAAACGGGCTTGGAAGATCAGCTACTGAGCGTTGTGGTTGGCACTGAGCGCCCTGATCTGGAGCAGCAGCGATCTGATCTGATTGCACAGACCAGCGAAAACAAGCAGCTCCTCCAGCAACTCGAAGATTCGCTCCTGCGTGAGCTGGCCACATCGACGGGCAACATGTTGGACAACGTCGAGCTGGTCGAGACTTTGGAAAACACCAAATCCAAGGCCGGCCTTGTCATGGAGCAACTGAAGTTAGCCCATGACACAGCTGTCGATATTGAAATCCTGCGCAACGGCTATCGGGCCGCCGCCAAGCGCGGGGCGGTACTCTTCTTCGCTCTGGCGGACATGGCCACAGTGAACAGCATGTACCAGTATGCGCTGGCTGCATATCTGGACGTGTTCGTCTACTCCCTGCGCAAGGCTGTGCCGGACACGGTGCTGGCCAAGCGTCTTAACAATATCATTAAGACCCTGACCGAGAATGTCTATTGCTATGGATGCACGGGCATCTTTGAGCGGCACAAGCTGCTCTTCTCATTCCAGATCGCCACAAAGCTGGCGCAGCGAGACGGAGTCCTGTCGCAGCAGGAAATTGATTTCTTCATCAAGGGCAGCATTGCGTTGACAAAAAGTGAACGTAATAACCCTGCCAAATGGCTGCCTGAAAAAAGCTGGGAGGATGTCCTGAAACTGGCCTCCGATTTCCCAGAAATGTTTTCCACCTTACCCGACCATTTCAGTATGAATTTGGAGGAATGGAAACAGGTAAGTCTTTTCGCTCTTATCCTATTGCTGCCTATCCATTTTCGCTACATAGTTTGAACTTAATTTTCGAATTTATTAGATTGTTAAGTAACTCGAAAATTTAGAAAAAGTCTTAGCCATATGACTTAGCATACCCAAAAAGTAGCAAACGACAATGAAATTAATAAACTAAATCTTAATAGAGTATAGTCATCCTTATTATACATCCTTATTATATATGAAACATGTGTTTGCAGCTAACTAAGTTAAACCGCATTATTCATGATTTAAAATTTTTCTTATTTCCTTATATATTTTTTTTCGAATGTGTGGCTGCACCACTCTGAATGTCAACATCAAATTCAATATACCCTTATTAACTGCTGCTTCTGGGACATTGCACTGAAAATGGACAACAACAACAATGACGACGATTTTGGACTTTGGATGGTCGCTAAAACTGTTCCTGACTGGCATGCGGCATTGACTGGCTTCCGTTGGCGATGCTCATTCTGTTTGCACTTATCGGCAAATGCCCATGGTCCATGGTGGTGCAGTGGTACGACTTGGAGAACCCCGAGGAGGTGGCATGCCCTGGCGGTTACAACATCAAATGCAATGCATTCCAGGCAAGTGCCATTGCTGCTCTGTGCTCTCGCTTTGCATGCTTTCAGCTTCAAGTGGCTGGAGCTCGGTCGTAGTCCGAGTAGGTCCTTGCCAGGAGCTGCCGTTGCCATCGAGCGTTATTGGATTTTGTACTTTATGCTCGTTTCTAGTGGATTATTATGTACAAGCCGCACACACATTCGCCCACGCAAGAGAGAGAGAGGGAGAAAGAGAGAGAGAGAGTGAGAGTGAGAGCGAAAGTCTGGGCGTTCAGTTTTACTCGACTTTTGCTACGTCCTGCAACTTTGGCGCACATTTTCTGCTCAAGTTATTAGCAGCCTGTTTTTGTCAGCCAGCATAGCTGTATCTAGCGTAGTTTGTGTATGGGGGTGTGTGTGTGTACGGGTGTGTGCATTACCATATTTTATCAATTTTCCAAGCCATTAGATGAGCGGCAATTTACGCCGGCAGTTGTACTTGAATCCAGCGGCGAGCCCAATTTGCACTCGACTCGAGCCAGAAACCACAAGGACGAAGGCAACAACACCAGCAACTGAATAAGTGCTGGCAAGGACCAACTCTATAGATGAGCGCTGTCAGTCAGCGCTGTTGATATTGTGCTATTAGAGTGTCGCATTGTCTAATATCGATGCATTTCTTATGGTCTACCCACAGAAATTGCTGTTTCTGCGCTGCTTCCGCGTGGATCGAATTTTCCGTTCCATAAATCAATACATTGTGGAGACCATGGACGAATTCTATATTATGCCGCCGGTCGTGAGCTTCTCTGCCATCTATGAGCAAACGACGTGCTTGATTCCAGTTTGCTTTGTACTCAGCGCCGGCTCGGATCCCACCAACGATCTAATTAAGCTGGCTGACATCGTTCTTGGCGGCATGGGCAACTTCTGTCACATTTCACTTGGCCAGGGGCAGGAGAAGGCTGCAATGAACTTGCTGGATGCGGCGCTCAGGCAGGGTCAATGGCTGATGCTCCAGAATGGTCACTTGCTGGTCAAGTTTGTGCGCGAATTGGAGAAGTTCCTGGACAAGGTGGAGACTCCGCATCCAGACTTTAGACTCTGGATTACCACAGATCCCACTCCGACGTTCCCAATTGGCATATTGCAAAAAAGTCTAAAGGGTAAGTTTCCATTATGATTAACTTAACAAAAATATAATTTAATCCGCAAATTTTTAGTGGTTACGGAGCCGCCCAACGGCTTGAAGCTAAACCTGCGCTCGACATTCTTTAAAGTGCGCCAGGATCGTCTGGAGGCGTGCTCCCATCGTGCTTATCGTCCATTAATCTATGTTCTGGCCTTCTTCCACGGCGTTGTGCAAGTGAGTTTTCAGTGCTTTCAAGACACAGAAAAAGCCAATTTCGGTGAATGTAACTGCATTGGAAGCGCTGGCGCAGCTGCGTCGACTGCTCTACCATGCACTTCGTTATTTATTAATTTGTTCATTTCTATCTGCTTGTTAAAAGCATTCTCAACACAACTGCGCCCAAGTTGCCCAATTGATGGAGCAGCCATTGTGCTTTTTGTACAACAAACTGTTATTGATAGCGTTGATAGCAGTTACTGTGTTCTCAATTAATCTGTTCAACACACTTCCCATTCCCATTTCCCATGCGCTAGGAACGTCGCAAATACGATAAGCTTGGCTGGAACATAGCATATGATTTCAACGACACAGACTTCGAAGTGTGCACCGAGATCCTGCGTAACTATTTGACCCGCTGCTCCGAGGAGAAGATGCCGTGGAATAGTCTCAAGTATCTAATCGGCGAGGTCATGTACGGGGGCCGCGTCATTGATGACTTCGATAGACGCATTACCAACTGCTACATGAATGAGTATATGGGTGACTTTCTGTTCGACGTATTCCAATCGTTCCACTTCTACGAGGACGAGAACGTTGACTACTGCCTGCCCGACGAGGAGACCGTGCTCAAAGAGGACTTCATAGGTGAGTCGCCGCTGCCTGTTAGTGGGTCACGTGATGCGACATCCCCATTTAAATACGTAATGCATTGATCACACAGCCCACATTGACAAACTGCCGCTGGTCAATAAGCCGGATGTATTTGGTTTGCATCCAAACGCGGAAATCGGTTATTACACAATGGCCGCGCGCAACATTTGGAACAGCCTGATTGAGTTGCAGCCACAAACTGGTGAGTGACTGGCCAATGGGCCTATACTATATAATGCTGGGTACATTGAAAACGTAGTACAGTAGAAACATAATATTATTATTACATTATTATTATTTCATAACCTATATGATAGACTCAAGTTCTTTTTGGATATATAGTAGTATAATTGCAATATTTTTTGTATGTATGTATATATACTATATATAATTTTTTTGTTAATTTTATATAAATTATTTGTTCACTATTATTTTCAATTTTGCTTATAATTTTCATACATTATATTTGATTTTCTTTTATTAGTAAATTATACAAATTTTATACTCCAAATCATACTTGAAAAGATTTATAGAATATGCATTCTATTTAAATTCCTAGTTTAATAAGTTTCGATCATTTTAGTTTCAAAGTTTCGTTTTCGTTTTTCGATCTACCCATACACGGTGTACGGTGCATCTATATCCGATAAAGTGTTTGACAGTTCGGTTAAAAAACGGAAACCATTTACAAGTAAATGGTTTAATTTACATGCAGCGTGTGCCAATTGTCAGCCGTTTATTACATTTTATCTTGTTGATTTTCATTGCTGTTGCATTTTTGGCATGTTACATTTTTAATTTAATTTAATTAATTAGTTGCGGTTTTGCAATTAACTTTATTGCATGCGCCATTATAGGCTGCGAACAATAACAGGGCATACATTAAAAATTAAAATAGAAGCATATTCGCATCCACACTCTCGCACACTGCAACAGACACACCTACGTTCACACATTTATAGCCACCCGCACGCCGCAAATCGCCGCACAAATAAAAAAGTTGCGATTCAGCATAAGCCTCACCACAGTCACCCTGATCCGATTCCGCCGCCGCCGCCGCCTCCTCCTCCGCCTCCGCATCCACATTCGCATCTGCATATGCAGTAACAACCATTTTTGAAAACGTCACCCGAAAGTCGATAATTTTGCGTTGCGAGCTTAAGCGTGTTAAAACCGCCATCAGAGAGCACTTTTCCACTTTCCGCACGCGCACTCAATGCAATAATACATATATGCACACACACACACATCCGAACCACACAGTATCCTTGTACATTGTCCATGATTGTGTGCATACATATATATATACGGATATACATGTAATATAATTTAAACAAATTTGCCGTTTTACTTTTTGCCACACCTTTGCGCAAGCATAGCCACCAGGTGCACACCAAACAATGAGAAATCCGGTAAAGTATTCCATGTAAACCTGTAAAGCATTTAATCAAATAATGATCTGAACGATAAAAGAGGCAAAGCATTAACCAGCTCATCTCTTCATAATGAGAGTAGACTTTTGAAGACCTGTCATAAAGGTAGTAAGTCTGTCTGGGCGAAAAACAATCCCGCATTAAGTTTGGCTGTTAATGAAAGAGTATTGCGAATCCGGTTACTGCCAATAATAGTAACTGTTCCGAAAGTTGAATTGGGAATTATTATATATAGCTTAGCATGAGATATCTAGCTACAGTCATCGTCACATGTAAAACTTTGAAGAATTTAAAGACCAATTTAATATTAAGAATGTTTTCCCATTGTCAGCTGTCCAATCTTTCTTTCGAGCTAATGGACCAAACTCTGATAGGGTAAACTCGGAAACCTGCCCACAATTTGCATATTCATGAGCTGCAGTATTTGCTAATTGACAATTACTGAAAAAAAAGAAAATCTACAACACAATAAATGCCATGTGCAATGGCTGCATTCCAACAACAGCAAAGGCAATATAAAAACCGAAATTAGTTCAATTTTCAATGTTAAAGTAAAGAGGGGTAAAAAAAGTGGAAGAAGAAGAAAGAAAAGTGTCAATAACCACTAACCACTGACTGCTACAAAGATAACATTGGCGATTTTCTCTGCCATTGTCAAGCCTAATTTATTTTTTCAATTTTCCCATTCAGGTGAGGGCACCGGTGGCATCAGCCGAGACGACTTCATCGACTTTGTGGCTGCCGGCATACTGAAGAAGCTTCCGCCGGCCTTCGAGACGTGGCGCATACGAAAGCAAATCCAAATGAGTCTGTCACCCACCGGCGTGGTGCTGCTGCAGGAGCTGGATCGGTTTAATATTCTGGTGGTGCGCATCAAGAAGACGCTGGAGCTGCTGCGGAAGGTAACTCTGAGTTTGCTTTGCTTTGCCCTGCTCTCCTCTGCTCTGCCTGTCAATAGGAAGCTCACATAAATCCTTCAGCTTTGTTTTGCATTTTGTTTATACAATTGCCAACTTGGCTGTCGACCAATGCTCGTGGTCGCCCACGTTCAACCCATAAGCAAATGCGAATGCGAATGCGATCCTTTGCTGGACTGCAGCATTTTGTTGCCAAAATAAATTTGCAAATGCAAATGAACTCTGCCGCTGGTGCTGGTGCTGGTGCTGGTGCTCATGCTGGCACTGGCGCTGGCGCTGTCTTTGCCATTGTCTTGATGTAGATGTCGCCGCGCCCACACAAATACTGTTACCTCTCCTCTCCATCTGCTGTAGCAGATGCCTGCATATGTGCTGTCATTGTGCCTTTTAATTTAATTGCATGCCCTCCGCAGGCCATCGCCGGCGAAATCGGCATGGACAATATCCTGGACAACATTGCCAACTCGTTATTCAATGGCCTCCTGCCAGCCGCATGGAGCAAACTGGCGCCGGCCACATGCAAGCAGTTGGCCAGCTGGCTGGAGCATTTAAAGGTGAGTCGTTGTCTCTGCCACAGTCGTCGCAGCTCATTAATCAGCTCGGCGAAAAAATCAGTCAGCCGTCCACCGTCCACCGTCCACTAATCAGCGATTCGCTTTCACCTGGTATTTCAGAAACGTGCCGTACAGTACAAGTATTGGTCGATTTCAGGCGAGCCGCTGGTCATGTGGCTGTCTGGACTGCATATACCACAGAGCTACCTCACGGCCCTCGTTCAGGTGAGAAATGGGCTTTTCCATAATGTGAGTTTTCCTAACGTGGTGCTGTCTCTCCCACCCCTCCTCTGCAGATTGCATGCCGCAGAAACAACTGGCCCCTGGATCGCTCCACGCTATTTACCTATGTGACCACATACTCGGAGCCCGATGACGTCGAAGAGCGTCCAGCGACGGTGAGTAGACTGCCCGGCGCTAAATGCAGAACTATGACCCCCATGTGACTAGAGCCTGAAGTACCGCACACCATACACCAGCCACCACCATACCAGCCCACCAGCCCACCGCCCCCTCGCTTGGCACTAATTTTGTAATTAAGAATTCTGTTTGCATTTTAATCGTTGAACTTTTTGCAGGGCTGCTATATACACGGTCTGTACATAGAGGGAGCTCGCTTTGACACGCAGGCGGGCCAGCTGAAGCGTTCGCATCCCAAAGTCCTGGTCGAGGAGCTGGCCATTCTGGCCGTGGTGCCCATTGAAGCGCACCGACTCAAGCTACAGGTTTGTATTTATGCCGGTCCAACACCGTCTGCAAGAGACAAGTACTAATGTCCTCTTGTATCTACATATACGCTGGATATAGCACATTGCTGGGGGTTGTTATAATGCCCATTCCCGCTGATATTTGTTTAAATGCTGTGCACTAAATTACCAACATCTTCCCCATTTCCGCAGCTAATGGGGCAGCTGTTGTGCTAATTGTTTCTGATTTTAAACTCTGGGTGGCTTAACTTTTCGCAGAAACAATGAAGCAGCTAACAATTGGTTGTAGCTAGTATGAATAGCGAATAGCAATGGGGCAGCAAGGGTTTAGTGTGCGGGCGAACTCTTTGTCTAGAATTTCATCTTATTGCTTAAATCAGAAATGATGAAATAACATACGAAATGCCAATGCTATATTCATTTTGGTTATTCTACAAAATTAGTACTCCTTATACGATATTTGATATAAATATTCCAATACCAATTCACACGCTACAATAACATTATTTTGAAATTTACAGAACACCTTCCTGGCGCCCGTATACACCACATCGCTGCGACGCAACGCCATGGGCGTCGGCCTGGTATTCGAAGCGAATTTGGCCACTTCTGAAGATCTTAGCCACTGGATACTGCAGGGCGTGTGTTTGACTCTGAATACGGATACTTAGAAACGGTACATGGAAGCGATATGCTTGATCGTTTTGCCAAACGATATCGCAAATAAATGGATATTTGCAAGACTGAATTGGCAATCGTTTATGTATTGTACGTTATGGATATTGTGACTATAAATGAATTTCTAGTGCCTTTCAATAGCGTGCTTTGTGCCTGGACTTCCTTCTGCTCAGCTGCGACTCCTGGCATTACCTTCGCCGCCAGCATCCGAAGCAACTCTTAAACTTATCCAAAATAGTTGATTTCATGGAGGGCAATAGTAGTTCCAGATTCTGAGTACCGCCGCTGTCATCAGAATCCAGATCAGACTCAATTGTCATCTCTTGTATGCTAAAAGTATCGGTTAGCTCGTGATTCTGCTGCCGTCGTTTGGCACGCTTCAGCTGTGCGGGAAAAAAGGATATCTCCTCCGCCTCATCACTGCTCTCAGACTTATAATCGACCAGTGGCTTCTGCTCCACCTCACCCGGTATGGGCAACCGATTAATGGGTATGAGGGTGGCCGTCTGTGTTTTGGTTGCCTGAAATGGATCGGATCTCTGCATTAGCCCCGGCACAGTTTTCATTTGATTAAGTGCACCCACCTGCTCCTCTTGATATTGCGTATAATTGCGCCTGGCACGCTCGACCTTCAGTTCCAGTTTGCGTTGCAGTATGCGGCAGGTGTTTGGCGGTTCGCTGCGCTCCGTCCCCCGCGCAGCCCTGTCTTCATCGATTTCAATGGTCGTCGGCGCATACACCTTGCTGGCACCCCTAAAGGCCACCTCAAACTCCAGATCCGACATATGTTTGGGCGCTCCACTAGCCGTTTTCTGTATTGGGCTTAGCCATGAGCTTTTGTTTTCTTGTCGAACTGCTGCAGCACTTACCAGCAACCCTGCTGCGCCGTCCTCATATATATTCGATTGTCTGTCCTCACTGTCGATGCCGCTATCCTCCATAATTCTTTGATTTCAACTTTATTTTATCTGCTATTCGAGCTTAAACGCGATGACAGAGGCAAACAAATTGTATTATCTCTTTGTGTACTACTCCCAACTTCAATCCACCCCAAAACCGTATAGCGCAGAATCCAACAATCAGCTGCAGCCCAACTGTCTGTGGAAAATCAATAACCCCTTAGTGCAGGGCGTTGCCAGACTGTGTGGGCATTCAAATAATTCTGTTCAAATAAATTTGAGTTGATAGATAATTACAGCTTCAGTAGAAAAACATTAATTATGTATTATTTATACATATGCACTCTTTATTATATAATTTTAATTTATTTACAAATATTTTTAGGCTTAAATTGCTTTACTCGTTGCACAAATATCGTAGAAAAACACTAAGTAATAGATATCAAATGAAAATAAGTTTTAGCCACTTTCTTCTTCTATGGATTGAATTTAAATCAAGAATAAATAGGAACAAAAAACATAAAGTACTAATACTATTTTCTTTTGTGCTGGAAGAAATCATCGTTTATCGGCTATTTATGCATATTGCTTTACTTAGAAAAACATTCGTTATATATTTGATCTGTGGGCTATGCGGTTGGCGGTATTTTTGGTCTCTCTATGGTTTGTGACGTTGCTCATTCTCTGAATATTTTCTGGTTTAAACTCAATTCATTGCAAAGGTCCAACAAAAATGTTAGGCTCAAAAGTTTGGTAGTTTTTTTTTTATGGAATAAGCTCATTGGGATGAGGCTGCGAGATTTGGCCAGCCAATGTGCAGGATCTGCAGCAGAACTGCGCATAGTACTTGTTCACGCAGTAATGGCCCTGTATAATCAGCTTGCAGTTGGCAAAGTAGGGATTGTCGATGCACTCGGGGGCCAATGGAATGACAGCTGGAAAATAAAAATAAAAAAATAAAAATAAATCTCAGTTGCTTTTTCATCTTGACTACTACTTTTCCTTGACTACTTACACTCGATCGTGACTGTCTCCTGGCTGGTGCTGTAGCTGTAGGCATTTCGCGCTGTGCAGCCATAGATGCCGCTATCCTCGGTGGTAACATCGTTGACGACCAAACGATGCGGATTGGCTGGAAGACGACAGAATTACGATTAATGGCAATATTGTAATGCTAGAGGCCCATTGTTGCTTTACCAGTTATTTGAACGCGTTCGTTGTTGTACAAAGGCGTGTTATCCTTAGTCCAGGTCACGTTCGGCGCCGGATTTCCCTGCACGGCGCAGTCCATCGCAATTGTGGAGCCGGGCGTGTATTTGTTTTGCGGATTCAGGCCAATTACAGCACGGGCATCGACTGCAGCAATAATGAAATAGATTTTAGATTAGCTTCAACTCTATGCAAATGTTGAAGAAATACGCAACACAAACCATAATGTAAAAGTATCATGCAACTTGTACTTACTTCTGGGATCATGCACAACAGGGGGCGGCACATAGACCGGACGCGAAGGTCTGTAGGGATAGGTGGGCCTTTGAGTGACCGGTGCCTTTGGTGGGTTAATAATATACTGCAAATATTTTTCATCGCCAACGCTTTGAGCAATAGCTGGACCAATAGCCTTCAGCGTTACGTGCAGCGAGACAGGGCGTCCGGTGTTGTACGCATCGCATGTGTACAGGCCCAGATCGGACAGCTGTACCGATCGGAAGTAGAGCGAGTAGTCGCGGTTCATTACGGCGCGACTTGTTTCGGGACCCATGCCGAAGTGTTGATTGTTTCTCCACCAGCTGACATGGGGTGCAGGATAGCCACCAGCCGGGCAACGAACCAACGCAGGTTGATTCAATTGCACAATTTGGGTGACGTTCTTAACGCCCAATATATAGGCCGGTACATCTCTAGCCTCTACCAACACCAACACAAAATCAAAAGCCATGCAAATGGTTAAGAGCACGCAACATGCATTAAGAAAAGTTAGTTATAAAGCCAAAACCAAATAAAAACATAACATACACAAAATCCTTATCCAATCTTCGAAAATCCGAAGTATTCAAAACCAATAGCAACAATTTTCTTGTGTAATAATATATAATTACAAAATATAGGTAAGCTTGTATTACTTTCGCTGAATTCAATTGAAATTCAATTGAAATTCAATTGAAAATCTAAATTCCAAACTTAATTTCAATCTTCGGCCTATTAACCTTAGATCTAGCTTGGCTAAAACTTCTATAAGAAAATAAGTACCGCATTCATATCATATAACGGTAGTTGTATAAATATTATTCAATATTCTCAACGATTTTGACTCGCATAACTTTTTTCCGGAATAAATGTTCTAGATTTGTATGCTCTAAAATGTTTGCATATTGGTTTTATATATAATTAAATTTGCTAAGGTTTTGAAATTATAAAAATATATGAAAAGACTTCCACGTACCCGTCACTTGTAGTGCTACCTCGCGACGCACTGGCTCGCCCAGGCCGTTGCTGGCCACGCAGACGTAGGTGCCGTCATCGGTTTGTCGCACCTGGACAATGGTTAGATCACCGTTTGAAGTCAGCACATAGCGGCCTTGGTTTGTGTCAATCTGAGAAGAATGTAGTATGCGAATGATACTGGTGCAAAGTGTGTGGTCTTGTGGAGTACTTACAACAACATTCTTTAATGACCATGTAATATTCGGTGCTGGATTGCCAGTTGCGAAGCAACGTAGTACTGCAATACCACCAACTGATGTGTGGACATCAACATCCTGTGGCGCCTTGGTCTCAAGTGTGGCTTTTACTTCGCCTGGGTAGATAACAACCGGGGGAGGAGTGCTGAGACGACGAGTGGGACGTGCCGGAGCAACGCACAGGTGGCCACAGCCATCGCTGCAGCATTTGTTGTCGCCACGACAATCAGCATCGGTGTAGCATTCGCGAGCGCATTCGCTGGCATTGGCCGTCAGCTGTGGGCAGAGACCAGGCTTGTTGATATCACGGCAGACAGGCACGAACTGATTGTCGCGATCTCCCGAATTGGACACATCTATGGCACACTGTTGACCGTCGGGGCACGGATAGCCCTCGCAAGGGTTCAGGCAGATGCACTGTTCACACTCCGGCTGCGATTCTGCTGGCACGCGGCGCACGCCGTAGGGACAGCGCAGATCACGGCATTCATTATCATACGTTTCGCAACGGTTGGGTGAGATTTCGTTGATGATCTCGTTGTCGATGGGCTCTGTGAAAAATAGGAAACTTAGATTTGTTCGATACACAGACTACCCAGCTAATCTACAAAAAATTCGTGCAATCTTATATCTAGTGAAAGTGCACTACTCAATAAATATTCTACTTGGGAAAACTACTGCTACGCTTAACTAAATAAGCATTCCTGAATTTGAAGGTGAAGCAGAGTGCATAATTGTGTATGGGGTGGGCAATAAATAGAGTGCAGAGTGCTCGGGTGCAGTTGGTATAAAGTGTGGTTTGTGGAGCAAGCTTACTTCCGCATTGATTTGTGCATGCTTCAAAGGAACGGAAGTTGTTCTGGTTGCCAGAGCAACCAGAGTAAATAAAGGATATGCAAGTGCCGCGCTCATCATCATAGTACCAACGGCGCTCCTGCACCGAGGGGCCGTTACACACTCCGGGGATCACCGGAAGTCGGCAGATATCTACTTACGTCCAGACAAAATCAAAAACAAAATCAAATTTAACAAAAGCCCTTCATTCTGAGCTTCATATCTTGTTACCTTTAGCCGCACCCGAAGGCAATGGCTCGCGGCCACCGAGGCAAACCGATTCACACTCATAGAGATCGTTGAAACGATTGCCCGTGCCATCGCAGCCACCGTAGGTGAAGGGCTGGCAGCTTTGACTATCACGATTGTAGTAGTAGCGGGTCTGCCACTGTGTGCAGGGTCCCGTCGTCACCGGCTCATTGCAAACATCTGACACATCAATCACATCACACATCAATCTAACTTATGATCATCTTTAGAAATAAATCAATTACTTACCAACACCCTTGAACTCGCCGCATTGGCGCTCGCACTGGTCACGGGTCTCAAACCGATTACCATTACCACCACAGCCGCTATAGGTGAAGGCGGTGCAGAGCATCCTCTCATTGTCATAGAACCAGGCGGTGGTATAGTTGTCGCACTCTCCGGCCTCAGCTGGCTGTGTACACACTGAATAGGTCTAAAGCAGCAACATTTTAAATATCTAAAGATGCAATTGAGA